TTTGCCAGAATTCCGCTTTAAGTAAATTTCTCTATAAATAGATATTAATGCAATATATTTAGATATTTAAATGTTTATTTTTATATGTATATGTTTCTAAGATTATTTACCATACTTAAGTATATATATGTATACAAATACATGTACTGTATTATTATTTACATCTGTATGTACATTAGAGATGTATGACCAGATATATAGTACAAATTAGTCTATATGGTCAAACCCCAGCACTAGGTATAACAATATAAAGCAATACTGGGTGTTAAGCTTTTCTATATATTAAAACATATGTTTCAATATATTTTATCTACAACTACAAGTCATTTATGACAATTACAGAGATTTTATATGACAACTTTAAAAGGAAATTGTGACCAAGTGTTGACCGATCTTTAAACAATTTATAACTCCAGGTTTTACTAAAACTATTATTTGTTGCAAATTTAGTTTAATACAAAGCAAATACTGTACGATACTCGTTTGTACAAATGGAGTCGCACAATACTTATATAAAAGATTTCCTTTCTCTGAAACCCTGTTTATGTGGTAAATGTATAACAAAAGAATTTCCAAGTAGTAAATAACTGGTAGAGGACGAAAATCACTCGTTCTTATAAAATTAACAGAAGAAAATGTAAATTTACAATTCAACCTGAAAACAACTTAACAATGCTCGACAAAATACATTTTGTGCATGTGTGAACACATTAAGGTGTATTTTAGTGTAAATGTATAGAACAAAAATACTTTTTTTTTTAAATTAAATACTCAAAGCTCTCAATCTGCACCATTAATAAGGATCTAAGGAATGGGATGTAAACTAAAACGATGTCAAAATTAAATCGTGTTGAAAGAACTTTATAAAATCAAGCGACTCTTAAGTTTAAAGAAGAAAATCAGAGCCTCAGGGTATGATTTTTATGTCCGATTTAGAAATTCTATGTTAAAGTCTGGAAATTTTAAAACGTAACTCCTTAATGCACATATTTTTGCAAGTACTTATTATCGCATGTTAGTCCAAGGTAGTTCCTTACAACGAAAGAAATGTGTCTTATGTATTACTGGTACATACATACATATTGTCTTCTTGTTAAAATATCATATATTTCATAGATCTGACCACAAAAACATATTTGTTTTGATGGATCATAAATTTGATATTTACTCTCTAATATTAGATTTGAAACAAACTAATGATTGAAAATTTATAACTCCTGCCCGGGTTCTCAAATTTTATACTAAAAAAACAAAATCAAAATTTTTATGCGCGGACCTAATATATGTGTAATGAATACAATAATGTTAATATGTAAGTATTTATATGTGTCGCTTGTTTGGTTTATATCAGGATACAGGATGTGTGAATATTAAAGTATCCTTTACTTTTATATATCCTGTCCATTGTCCACTATGTCTGTATTGCTTGTATTTAAATGCATATATGTACATATGTATATGTAATTATATGTATGTTTTTATGCTGACACACAAATACTTATTTATAATAGGATGACACAAAATTTAAGTTCGAAATTTTTTAAGAATGTATTCCGAATACAGTAGAACAACAATATTTCGAATATATTAAAACAATCTAATTCTGCATACAGTTAAATTATTCTATTTCGAATAAATACAACTCCTCTATTCCGAAGTGAAAAGTACTACTCTATTGCGAATAAAATGGTATTCCTCATAGACTAGAATTACTCTATTCTGAGTAGAATAGAATTTCCCTATTTCCAATAGAGTAGAATTACTCTATTCCGAATAGAGTAGAATTACTCTATTCCGAATAGAGTAGAATTACCCTATTCCGAATAGAGTAGAATTACTCTATTCCGAATAGAGTAGAATTACTCTATTCCGAATAGAGTAGAATTACTCTATTCCGAATAGAGTAGAATTACTCTATTCCGAATAGAGTAGAATTACTCTATTCCGAATGGAGTAGAATTACTCTATTCCGAATAGAGTATAATTACTCTATTCCGAATAGAGTATAATTACTCTATTCCGAATAGAGTAGAATTACTCTATTCCGAATAGAGTAGAATTACTCTATTCCGAATAGAGTAGAATTACTCTATTCCGAATAGAGTAGAATTACTCTATTCCGAATAGAGTAGAATTACTTTATTCCGAATAGAGTAGAATTACTCTATTCCGAATAGAGTAGAATTACTCTATTCCAAATAGAGTAGAATTACTCTATTCCAAATAGAGTAGAATTACTCTATTCCGAATAGAGTAGAATTACTCTATTCCAAATAGAGTAGAATTACTCTATCCCGAATAGAGTAGAATTACTCTATTCCGAATAGAGTAGAATTACTCTATTCCGAATATAGTGGAACTACTCTATTACGAATAGAGTAGAACTACTCTATTACGAATAGAGTAGAACTACTCTATTACGAATAGAGTAGAACTACTCTATTACGAATAGAGTAGAACTACTCTATTACGAATAGAGTAGAACTACTCTATTACGAATAGAGTAGAATTACTCTATTACGAATAGAGTAGAATTACTCTATTCCGAATATAGTGGAACTACTCTATTCCGAATAGAGTAGAACTACTCTATTACGAATAGAGTAGAACTTCTCTATTACGAATAGAGTAGAACTACTCCATTACGAATAGAGTAGAACTACTCTTTTCGTAATAGAGTAATTCTACTCTATTCGGAATAGAGTAGTTCTACTCTATTACGAATAGAGTAGAACTACTCTATTACGCGTAGAGTACAACTACTGTATTACGAATAGAGTAGAACTACTATGTTACGTATAGAGTAGAACTACTCTGTTACGAATAGATTAGAATTACTCTATTACGAATGGAGTAGAACTACTCTATTACGAATAGAGTTGAACTACTCTATTACGACTAGAGTAGAACTACTCTATTACGAATAAAGTAGAATTACTCTATTACGAATAGAGTAGAACTACTCTATTACGAACAGAGTAGAATTACTCTATTACGAGTAGAGTAGAACTACTCTATTAGGAATAGAGTATAACTACTCTATTACGAACAGAGTAGAACTACTCTATTACGAACAGAGTAGAACTACTCTATTACGAATAGAGTATACCTATTCTATTACGAAAAGAGTAGAACTACTCTATTACAAATAGAGTAGAATTACTCTATTACGAATAGAGTAGAATTACTCTATTACGAATATAGTAGAACAATTATTTTCCGAATATTGTAGAGCAACTCTATCCTTATAAGAGTAGAACAAGTCTTCCGTATAGACTGAAATTACCCTGTTCCATATAATGTAGAATTGCTATTTTTATAAATCTGTTGCTGTCTAATATGAACATAAAACAATGCATGAATGTCCTTAAAAATAAGCAAGAAACAACAAGCTCTTTATTCATATAGTAAGGAAGTAAATTTTACATATATTTATGTTTGATTTCTTCTTTCGTTTTCCTTGCAGTATATTTATTTGCATATATGCCGGTGTGTTTGTTTTATCTTTAACACAAGTGTAATTTTAAGGATTATTTACGAAAGGAACTACTTTACATAAATATGTAGATTTGTATGTGTAAAGTAAATAGGTATATATAAGACATATACAGCTATATACATATGTAATTAGTTGTGCAATTTTATTTTGTTATTTTTGAAATAAATTTAAACAAAAGTAACTTTTTTCGTATTTTTATACATTTAGCTAACGATTTTAAAGATTTTTTAACCAGAATCTTTATAATTCTCATTTAGTTAGTAAGTTTTCATTTATATATAAATATGTCCTGAAGTGGAAACAAATTTGTTCTATCATCTTCATTATAACTTCACTACTACAAGATAAGGCTTTTCTACTAATAACCTGAATTTACAATTAATGATTTATTATAGGTCATTTAATGTAACTAATTATTTAAGTATTGACTAAGTAATGACTTACGTAAGTAATTATTTTTAAAAGTATTTGCTAAAGAAAGATTTTTCTTAAGATTTGGAATATTTTACAAAATATTTATAGATTCAAAAGTCTATGTGCCTTTTGGCTGGTCTTGTCAATAGGATAGTCAATATAGATTAGTCAATAGGCTAGTCCATAGACTATTCAATAGGCTACACCATAGAGCAGACAATAGGTTAGTCTATAGAGAAGTCGATAGGTTAGTCCATTGACTAGTTAATACGCTAGTACATATGTAGTTTATTAAGGTGGTAGTGTATTGAGTATTGATTTTTTTAGTTATTTGGATGGGTGCAGTTGTATGTGTGCAAGATTAAATAATGGACCCATATCTACCATTTTCAAAAGGTGTTTTCAGAAAGAGGCATGAGTGCCCAATTTCAACAGATTGTCTAAAAAATACAACTTTTTACTACAATGTTTACAAGGAAGGACGGACATAGCTAAATCGACTTAGAAAATGTTTGAGCGGAATAATATACCTTAAGGTAGGTGTCAGAGATACAAGCCGATGCAAAAGGTCGGCGGCGGCGGCTTATTATAGAAAATAACGGCGGCGGCTAAATTGTCGGCTCTATTTAACTTTTTCTTCAGAAATTGACCTTACAAGCGTTTATTATATTGAAAAATCTCTGTATAATAGTCTGTTATATAGAAACCTGTCTCTATATAAGTAGTTATCACTATTTTAATATTAGCACAATATTGTGTGGCAACTCTTTTGAATTTGCCATAAGAATTTGAAATAGTGGCAACTCTGTTTAAATTGGTGAAATTATTTTCTGAAAGATATGTGCGATTCCAATCTTTATCAGCGGCTACGTTTAAGCCGGCTTAGCTTTTGAGCCGAAAGAAGTCGGCGGCGGCGCGGCTTGCTAAATATTACCGGCGACCAGCCGCCACCGATTTGAGCCGTCTCGGCTTGTATCTCTGGTAGGTGTGTGAACAAAGTTTAGACTATATAAATTAAAAAAAAAAATTGTATTTAATTTTTTTTCCATAACTTTCATTTATTTAAATTTTCATTTACCTAAAAACTTCAACTTTGAACTTGGCTAAAAATCGTAAACATGGAAAATGAAAAACGTATTATCTGTAAAATATATAACAATATAAAAACAACTAATAATATCCGAAAAAAACTTTAAACTTACCGCCAGAAATGTTTGCAATGTTACCGGTGCCAAATTACCAGCCAATACCGTATTCGTTTTCTGTGAACGTTGCATAAATATTATTAACATTTTGCGAAATTTCTGATTCTGATCCATCCAATTGCAACGGTACATCGCCGTAGTTAAATAGTCACTTTTCTCCATTATCACATTGACATGCCAACAGGTGGGAAATATCTGAATGAGAATGACCCCCAAATATATAGAAGCGAAAAATTTCTGTGTAATATCACTATCGAAAGCAATTAAATTGATGGCTGTCATACACAGTGAAAAACCGGTAATGAAAAATTGCAAAAACAGAGTGGCCGAGATGACGGGACGTATGCATTCGAAGTAACTGGAAAAGAAAGAAAATTTTTTGATATTTTATGTCAAATTGTCAAATCAATAAATTTTTTCTTAATGTAGTTTCATATAACATTGTTTAAATATTTGTATCACTGTCAGATAAGATCGTTTCATGATGGGATCAAAAATCACCTAGTTCGCACTCCTACCTATTGTTGAATATAACATTAACGACAACGACCGATTATAAGTGTTTTTATTGTATTTATTTTGGCAGATTTGCATTAAAATTTGTATTGTCTTTGTGACAACAGTTGCTAGTTGTTGTTGTTGTTCGCTTCGTTCCTGTTATAATCAGAATGCAGTTTTTCATACAACTTCCGTTTCAGTTGTCGTCTACTTAATGCTTTAATGCATTTGAGTGTTAAAAAGTTTTTTCGTTTTTTGTTGTCGCCATTGCTGCTGTTTTATGTTGCGCATATTTTAATCTAGTTTTTTTTTTTATTTTTTGTGGAGGCGAAGAGTAGAAATTTTCATTGCTATTTTAGAGTTTTGTCATGCCAAAAAGTTATACAGATTTTATTCTATTATTTTAAAGTATTTTGCCATACATATGTACATTACCACACATACAGTTAAATATATATTAAGGAGGATATTTAAGTGACCAGTAGGAAATTGAGTCTCAAATTAGGAATCATTTGTAATATTTGGATATGTCGAATCATATTGGTTTATCCAGCAGTCAATAGGCTAGTCCCTAGTCAATAAGTTAGTCCAAAGACTAGTCAATAGGCCAGTCCATAGACTAGTCAATAGGCTAGTCCATACAGTGGTTCATAGACTAGTCAATAGGCTACATAATAGGCTATTACATACTAGTCCATAGACTAATCAATAGGCTAGTCAATAGGGTAGTTCACAAACTAGTCCATAGACTAATCAATAGACTAGTCAATAGGCTAGTCCATAGACTAGTCAATAAGTTAGTCCAAAGACTAGTCAATAGGCTAGTCCATAGAGTAGTTCATAGACTAGTCGATGGACTAGTAACTAGGCTAGTCCCAAGACTAGTCAATAGGCTTACCCATAGACTAGTCAATAGGCTAGTCCATACAGTGGTTCATAGACTAGTCAATAGGCTACATAATAGGCTATTACATACTAGTCCATAGACTAATCAATAGGCTAGTCAATAAGCTAGTCAATAAGCTAGTCAATAGGGTAGTTCATAGACTAGACCATAGACTAATCAATAGGCTAGTCAATAGGCTTGCCCATAGACTAACCAATAGGCTAGTCAATAGTTCATAGACTAGTCAATATTCTAGTCCATGTAGTATTCATACATGGTCCATAGTCAACAGGCTAGTCCATATACTATACAATAAGCTGGTCAATAGTTCATAGACTAGTCAATAGGCTAATCAATATGCTAGTCCATAGACTAGTCATAAGGATGGTCCATAAACTAGTCAATAGTTCACAGACTAGTCCATAGACTAATCAATAAGCTAGTCAATAGTTCATAGACTAGTAAATAGTCTAGTCCATATACTATTCCATAGTCTAGTCCATAGACTAGTCAATAGGCTACTCAATAGGCTTATCCATAGACTTATCAATAAGCTAGTCCATATACTAGTCGTCCATATACTGGTCCATTGACTAGTCAATAGCCTAGTCAATAGACTAGTCAATAGGCTACTCAATAGACTAGTCTATAGACTAATCATTAGGATAGTCCATAAACTAGTCAATAGTTCATAGACTAGTAAATAGTCCAGTTCATATACTCAATCAATAAACATTGACTAGTCCATTGACTAGTCAATAGCTATTCCATAGACTATACAATAGGATAGTCAATAGTCCATAGAATAGTCAATAGGCTAGTCCAAAGACTAGTCATAAGGATGGTCCATAGACTAGTCAATAATCTAGTCCATATACTAGTCAATAGTCCATAGACTAGCCAATAGGCAAGTCAATAGACTAGTCCATAGGCAAATCAATAAGCTAGTCCAGAAATTTTATATTTTCTTTAACCAAAAACTTCTCCATTGGGGTCTCGATCAACAAACTATAAAATAAAGGATTAAATTGTGTTTGAAAAGAGCTGTTAAAAGCCATTCGATGTGTATACATGGCACCTGTTTTAAATGCTGATGATATGCTAAGTACTTTTAGCCACAAAATTTTAAACAAAAAAACTTACAAAACACACGCAGTTACAAATACTTAATACGTCGGGAGTAATGGGCTTATTTTGCCACCACTTATAAGTTTATTTTTGGATTTCACATGTACATAGTTGTAGTTTTTTTAGCAAATGCTGTGTTCGATTACTATCGTGTGTGTGTGTGTGCATAGTTTGGTGTCTAACTAGAACGTGCTGGTTTTAAGTTAAATAATATTAAAGAACAGTGGGACAAAAGTATGTGTAATTTTCAATGCTTTTTTGCTTTTCTTTAAATATCTCTACAATGAAGTAAATAAAACTTTTTAAAAAGACCTTAAATTATTTATGTACGTCCCACTGTTAGCATTACTGGTTACTTGTTAAAACAGCAACATTTCAAGGCATTATACAATTTAACCAATACCTCCCATTTTCACTCACTGCACGAGTTCACCACTCCACTCTCTGCCTTTGTAGGACGTGTTATTTTAAGTTTAAGCGTGTTTGCCATTTTTCCTCCTCTTTTTTTCAAAAGAAAAAGTATAAAACAGAACACTTCCAAAAGCAAAATTAAAAGAAACTTTGATTATTTTTCTTAAGGCAAAATCGTTTACATTCACACACCACTTGCTGCGACCATATAATATGTGTTCACAATGACGAGATGATTTTCTAGTGATTCTTTGCGAAATTTTTGGGAAACATTGTTTTTGCATTGGAAAAAAGTTTTTTTGGTCTTTTGTATTTGTGTCTTCTCTCAGTGATGAATTAAAATCTCCTAGGATAAAGGCACACAAATGAAAAAGGCTCTACAAGCAACGTTCCTAGTAATGGGAGTTAAAAAGCCTGGTTAGGCATGATTTGCATGCTAATGAGCTAAAGTATTTGATTATTTTAAAATGTAAAATGAAAATTTTTTGGAAAAACTAAAAAGTAACTTAAAAAGTAAAATAATACAAATTTTTTTCGGTAAAGGGGAAAATTTCACAAAAATGGAATAAAACTTTCTATGGTAAAATAACAATAAACTTCATGAAAGGAGTTTCTAAAAATTGCACTTTAAAGACAGCAGAATATACCAGTAAATATGAAGCAATTGAAGGTATCGGAACGAAATTTGAAAAAAAAAAAAGCGGAAGCGATGATGTTTTGAATGGAGATTTATAGTTTTTCTAACTAACTAACTAACTAACTAACTAACTAACTAACTAACTAACTAACTAACTAACTAACTAACTAACTAACTAACTAACTAACTACTAACTAACTAACTAACTAACTAACTAACTAACTAACTAACTAACTAACTAACTAACTAACTAACTAACTAACTAACTAACTAACTAACTAACTAACTAACTAACTAACTAACTAACTAACTAACTAACTAACTAACTAACTAACTAACTAACTAACTACTAACTAACTAACTAACTAACTAACTAACTAACTAACTAACTAACTAACTAACTAACTAACTAACTAACTACTAACTAACTACTAACTAACTAACTAACTAACTAACTAACTACTAACTAACTAACTAACTAACTAACTAACTAACTAACTAACTAACTAACTAACTAACTAACTAACTAACTAACTAACTAACTAACTAACTAACTACTAACTAACTAACTAACTACTAACTAACTAACTAACTAACTAACTAACTAACTAACTAACTAACTAACTAACTAACTAACTAACTAACTAACTAACTAACTAACTAACTAACTAACTAACTAACTAACTAACTAACTAACTAACTAACTAACTAACTAACTAACTAACTAACTAACTAACTAACTAACTAACTAACTAACTAACTAACTAACTAACTAACTAACTAACTAACTAACTAACTAACTAACTAACTAACTAACTAACTAACTAACTAACTACTAACTAACTAACTAACTAACTAACTAACTAACTAACTAACTAACTAACTAACTAACTACTAACTAACTAACTAACTAACTACTAACTAACTAACTAACTAACTAACTAACTAACTAACTAACTAACTAACTAACTAACTAACTAACTAACTAACTAACTAACTAACTAACTAACTAACTAACTAACTAACTAACTAACTAACTAACTAACTACTAACTAACTAACTAACTAACTAACTAACTAACTAACTAACTAACTAACTAACTAACTAACTAACTAACTAACTAACTAACTAACTAACTAACTAACTAACTAACTAACTAACTAACTAACTAACTAACTAACTAACTAACTACTAACTAACTAACTAACTAACTAACTAACTAACTAACTAACTAACTAACTAACTAACTAACTAACTAACTACTAACTAACTAACTAACTAACTAACTAACTAACTAACTAACTAACTAACTAACTAACTAACTAACTAACTAACTAACTAACTAACTAACTAACTAACTAACTAACTAACTAACTAACTAACTAACTAACTAACTAACTAACTAACTAACTAACTAACTAACTAACTAACTAACTACTAACTAACTAACTAACTAACTAACTAACTAACTAACTAACTACTACTAACTACTAACTAACTAACTAACTAACTAACTACTAGTTCAGTCCTAGTAGTTCAGTTCTAGTTCAGTTCTAGTTCAGTTCTAGTTCAGTTCTAGTTCAGTTCTAGTTCAGTTCTAGTTCAGTTCTAGTTCAGTTCTAGTTCAGTTCTAGTTCAGTTCTAGTTCAGTTCTAGTTCAGTTCTAGTTCAGTTCTAGTTCAGTTCTAGTTCAGTTCTAGTTCAGTTCTAGTTCAGTTTAAGTTCAGTTTAAGTTCAGTTCTAGTTCAGTTCTAGTTCAGTTCTAGTTCAGTTCTAGTTCAGTTCTAGTTCAGTTCTAGTTCAGTTCTTGTTCAGTTCTAGTTCAGTTCTAGTTCAGTTCTAGTTCAGTTCTAGTTCAGTCCTAGTTCAGTTCTAGTTCAGTTCTAGTTCAGTTTTAGTTCAGTTCTAGTTCAGTTCTAGTAAAATTCTAATTCAGTTCTAGTTCAGTTCTAGTTCAGACAGTATATACATAGTACTATGGTTCAGAATGTATAAAGTATGTATATCTCCGAACATAAACTGTGGAGGTCAAAGGTCAATTTTTGCAATACTTAGAATTTTCTAGAGTGCCATATAGGAATATTATTTATTTGTCTGCCATAAATATTTAACAAAAATGACTGCATTTTATAGTTTCACTTTGAATATATTCCTAGAAATTTTTCATACTGAGTCGTACATACCATCATACAAAACCTCACATCAATTATTAGTTTTGTTTCGTAAATAACACTCTACTCACCCCAACAGATTCTTATGATCCAATATACACAACTTTAACTCTTCGATACTTTCCTCAGAAGTTAGTTTTTTCTTATCCATACCAATTCTCTCTATACGATTCGCTAATGTCTCCAAATGAGCTATAACCATTGATAGATAACACAAAGGATAAACATCATTGTTGGCATTTTGAAAGACCAAACAAGTTTGAGCAAAATTTTGATAGGAGAATGCTAGAATATAGTTCGACCTCGTATCGGATAAGACATTGGGAAACCAACCACTATATACCAAACGATCATTGATCCAGCCAATGTAGGCAAAACCGATGGCACAAAAGCAGTAAATTGCGATATAAAATATATAGTAAAGATGGCAATAATGCGTAGCATTTAGAATAATTCTACGATCCCGGACTTGTTGGCTACTACGTTCATCCAATGGCTTTAAGAATTCATTCGCTTTAAGTAATGCTCGACGATGTATTAGAACGGCCAGCTGTTTAAATGGTGCTATGGCAATGGTAGTTGTAAGTGAAAGATTTGCCACCACTTCCTGCCAAGAGTTAATAAGCCAGAGATTGGCTAACATTGAGGCTGGCAAGCAGACACTGGCCAGTATATTAATTACTGCAGAATATGTGTAGTACAGGATGTTCCATAAAATTGATTTACTGTTAAGGGGTGGATGCATACCCACAAAAAACCAATTCATCCATAGATATTTGAAACCATTAGCGGAGTTTAATGGTTGTCCTAAATCTGTAGGCTTTCGCAAATGCATGACTGCCACTTGCTGTTTGTTTTGCTTAAAAACAATTTCCCGTTAGATTCCTTTGAAGTGTGTGTGGAATGGTCGAATAATAACTAAGGTCTATGGTATTTTCCAAAGGGTTTTTATATCCATTGTTTAGTTTTTTGTGGGTGTGTCAATTTTTTCTAATTAGGACTATAACTACACTAAGAAAACAGTCACAGTTGAAATAATTGAATTTATATTTAAATGTATTATCTTATTTGAAAATTGTTTACTTTAGTGCTTCTATCCAAAAATAGACTTCAATCCATTTGATAATTAGTTATTTCAGCTAAAACTGTTTTCACCGTGTATAACAATTTATTTGTGATATATTAAGGAAATGACTTTATCTGTGCTTTATACAATGTTTTAGGTAATTTAAATTAAATTAAAACACGTGTCCAAGTATGTACCTCCTACTTAAATACCAACAACAATTATCTTTTAGAAACTATTTATAACGCAATTTTGTACGTAATATTTTTAATTATTAAGAAAGATTTAAATATTAAGAAATGTTTCCAAACTGAAGTAGAACTGAACTAGAGCTAAACTAGAACTGAACTAGAACTGAACTAGAACTGAACTAGAACTGAACTAGAACTGAACTAGAACTGAACTAGAACTGAACTAGAACTGAACTAGAACTGAACTAGAACTGAACTAGAACTGAACTAGAACTGAACTAGAACTGAACTAGAACTGAACTAGAACTGAACTAGAACTGAACTAGAACTGAACTAGAACTGAACTAGAACTGAACTAGAACTGAACTAGAACTGAACTAGAACTGAACTAGAACTGAACTAGAACTGAACTAGAACTGAACTAGAACTGAACTAGAACTGAACTAGAACTGAACTAGAACTGAACTAGAACTGAACTAGAACTGAACTAGAACTGAACTAGAACTGAACTAGAACTGAACTAGAACTGAACTAGAACTGAACTAGAACTGAACTAGAACTGAACTAGAACTGAACTAGAACTGAACTAGAACTGAACTAGAACTGAACTAGAACTGAACTAGAACTGAACTAGAACTGAACTAGAACTGAACTAGAACTGAACTAAACTGAACTAGAACTGAACTAGAACTGAACTAGAACTGAACTAGAACTGAACTAGAACTGAACTAGAACTGAACTAGAACTGAACTAGAACTGAACTAGAACTGAACTAGAACTGAACTAGAACTGAACTAGAACTGAACTAGAACTGAACTAGAACTGAACTAGAACTGAACTAGAACTGAACTAGAACTGAACTAGAACTGAACTAGAACTGAACTGAACTGAACTAGAACTGAACTAGAACTGAACTAGAACTGAACTAGAACTGAACTAGAACTGACTAGAACTGAACTAGAACTGAACTAGAACTGAACTAGAACTGAACTAGAACTGAACTAGAACTGAACTAACTGAACTAGAACTGAACTAGAACTGAACTAGAACTGAACTAGAACTGAACTAGAACTGAACTAGAATTGAATTAGAACTGAACTAGAACTGAACTAGAACTGAACTAGAACTGAACTAGAACTGAACTAGAACTGAACTAGAACTGAACTAGAACTGAACTAGAACTGAACTAGAACTGAACTAGAACTGAACTAGAACTGAACTAGAACTGAACTAGAACTGAACTAGAACTGAACTAGAACTGAACTAGAACTGAACTAGAACTGAACTAGAACTGAACTAGAACTGAACTAGAACTGAACTAGAACTGAACTAGAACTGAACTAGAACTGAACTAGAACTGAACTAGAACTGAACTAGAACTGAACTAGAACTGAACTAGAACTGAACTAGAACTGAACTAGAACTGAACTAGAACTGAACTAGAACTGAACTAGAACTGAACTAGAACTGAACTAGAACTGAACTAGAACTGAACTAGAACTGAACTAGAACTGAACTAGAACTGAACTAGAACTGAACTAGAACTGAACTAGAACTGAACTAGAACTGAACTAGAACTGAACTAGAACTGAACTAGAACTGAACTAGAACTGAACTAGAACTGAACTAGAACTGAACTAGAACTGAACTAGACTGAACTAGAACTGAACTAGAACTGAACTAGAACTGAACTAGAACTGAACTAGAACTGAACTAGAACTGAACTAGAACTGAACTAGAACTGAACTAGAACTGAACTAGAACTGAACTAGAACTGAACTAGAACTGAACTAGAACTGAACTAGAACTGAACTAGAACTGAACTAGAACTGAACTAGAACTGAACTAGAACTGAACTAGAACTGAACTAGAACTGAACTAGAACTGAACTAGAACTGAACTAGAACTGAACTAGAACTGAACTAGAACTGAACTAGAACTGAACTAGAACTGAACTAGAACTGAACTAGAACTGAACTAGAACTGAACTAGAACTGAACTAGAACTGAACTAGAACTGAACTAGAACTGAACTAGAACTGAACTAGAACTGAACTAGAACTGAACTAGAACTGAACTAGAAACTGAACTAGAACTCAACTAGAACTCAACTAGAACTGAACTAGAACTGAACTAGAACTCAACTAGAACTCAACTAGAACTGAACTAGAACTGAACTAGAACTGAACTAGAACTGAACTAGAACTGAACTAGAACTGAACTAGAACTGAACTAGAACTGAACTAGAACTGAACTAGAACTGAACTAGAACTGAACTAGAACTGAACTAGAACTGAACTAGAACTGAACTAGAACTGAACTAGAACTGAACTAGAACTGAACCAAAACTGAATTGGATTCCTATTTAAGGAACTATAATTCTAATAAGTACCATTGAAGTTATCACATTATATTCCCAATATATACGAAAAGCATTTTGAGCCAAATTTAGTTCAATTATAAATTCAAACTTTATTGGTTAGATATGTATTTTACCGCAATTTCTAATACAAAATAGTTTTATGTTTCGAAACACTTTAAGATTTGCTGAAAATCGTAAACATCGAAAATGAAAAACGAATTATCTGAAAAATAAGAACAACAGTTAACAGTTGTCAAAAATTACAATCAAGTCGACACAAACACACCGCCAAAAATGTTTGCAATGTTACCGGTGCCAAATTACCAGCCAATACGGTATTGGTCTTCTGTGAACGTTGCATAAATATTATTAACATTTTACGAAATTTCTGATTCTGATCCATCCAATTGCAACTGTACATGGCCGTCGTTAAATAATCACTCTTCTCCATTAGAACATTGACATGCCAACAGGTGGGAAATATTTGAAACAATATTATAATTAAATAAAGAATGGCAAAAATTTGTTCGGTTACATCACGATCGAAAGCAATTAAATTGATAGCGCTTAGACAGAGAGCAAAGGCGGTTATGAAGAATTGCAAAAATAAAGTGGTAGAGATAACGGGACGTATGCATTCGAAATAACTGTAGCATAAATAAATTAATTACAGATTTTCTCCCTATGATTGCATTCTTTACTTACTCTAACAGATTCTTATGATCCAATATACACAACCGTAATTCTTCGACATTTTCCTCAATCGAACACTTCTTATCTGCACCAATTCTTTTTATACGTTCAGCCAATGAGTCCAAGTGGCCAATTATCAAGGATAAATAACACAAAGGATACATATCATTGTTGCCATTCTGGAAAACTAAAGTTGTTTGAGCGATATTTTGATACGTAAATGCAGCCAAATAATTAGCCCGTGGACTGTCGAAGAGTCTAGGAAACCAACCACTATAGATCAATCTGTGATTGGACCAACCAATGTAGGCAAAACCATAGGCACAAATCAAATAAGTAGACGTATAAATCGCATAGTATAGATGACAGTAGCGTATAGCATTTAAAATATTCATACGATCTTGAGGATTATGATTACTTCGCTCATCTAGAGGTTTTAATACTAAATTTGATTTGAGTAAGCGACGCAAATGTATCCATAGGGCAAATTGCTTTAATCCAGCAACAGCAATGGTAGTACTTAAAGAAAGATTTGCTACCAGTTCTTGTCGTGAGTCAATAAACCAGAGATTGGCTAACATTGTGACTGGCAAACCGAAACCGGCAATTAGAGTTAATATAACACTATATATATAATAAATAATACGCCATATAGCCGTCAAATTTGCCGGTGGATGCATACCGACAATGGTCCAATTCATCCATAGATATTTGAGACCGTAAATGGAGTCTATTGGTTGACCAACATCTTTAGGTCGTCTCAATTGCATGACTTTGTTTAATATAACAAAAATTCCGATATCTTGAAAAGTGTGCTTGAACAGTTTGACACAAAACTGAGGTGTAAATTAATACACTAAAGGGTTTTATATGGCCTGTATAATTCTGTATATTTCTCACTTGTATGGCACATTTTGTGGGCGTTTAATTTTTTAATTATGGTTAGAACTACACTCGTTTGTCTTGTAAGCTAAGCCATAGAACAACGTCCATCTATAACTAAGCTGTGACCAGACTTTGACCAGACAATAACTCGACTCTGACAAGACTATGACTGGATCACAGACTAGGCTACAAACTAGACTATGTAGACTAGACTATATGCTAGACCAGAATATAGACTAAAACTAGACTAGACTATAGTCTAGACTATAGACTAGACTATATACTAGACTATAGACTAGACTAAAGACTAGACTATAGACTAGACTATAGCCTAGACTATAGACTAGACTATAGACTATACTATAGACTAGACTATAGACTAGAATATAGACTATACTATAGACTAGACTATAGACTAGTCTTTAGACTAGACTATAGACTAGACTTTGGACTAGACTACAGACTAGACTATAGACTAGACTATAGACTAGACTATAGACTAGACTATAGACTAGACTATAGACTAGACTATAGACTAGACTAAGACTAGACTATAGACTAGACTATAGACTAGACTATAGACTAGACTATAGACTAGACTATAGACTAGACTATAGACTAGACTATAGACTAGACTATAGACTATAGACTAGACTATAGACTAGACTATAGACTAGACTATAGACTAGACTATAGACTAGACTATAGACTAGACTATAGACTAGACTATAGACTAGACTATAGACTAGACTATAGACTAGACTATAGACTAGACTATAGACTAGACTATAGACTAGACTATAGACTAGACTATAGACTAGACTATAGACTAGACTATAGACTAGACTATAGACTAGACATAGACTAGACTATAGACTAGACTATAGACTAGACTATAGACTAGACTATAGACTAGACTATAGACTAGACTATAGACTAGACTATAGACTAGACTATAGACTAGACTATAGACTAGACTATAGACTAGACTATAGACTAGACTATAGACTAGACTATAGACGAGACTATAGACTAGACTATAGACTAGACTATAGACTACTAACTATAGACTAGACTATAGACTAGACTATAGACTAGACTATAGACTAGACTATAGACTAGACTATAGACTAGACTATAGACTAGACTATAGACTAGACTATAGACTAGACTATAGACTAGACTATAGACTAGACTATAGACTAGACTATAGACCTAGACTATAGACTAGACTATAGACTAGACTATAGACTAGACCTATAGACTAGACTATAGACAGACTATAGACTAGACTATAGACTAGACTATAGACTAGACTATAGACTAGACTATAGACTAGACTATAGACTACTATAGACTAGACTATAGACTAGACTATAGACTAGACTATAGACTAGACTATAGACTAGACTATAGACTAGACTATAGACTAGACTATAGACTAGACTATAGACTAGACTATAGACTAGACTATAGACTAGACTATAGACTAGACTATAGACTAGACTATAGACTAGACTATAGACTAGACTATAGGACTAGACTATAGACTAGACTATAGACTAGACTATAGACTAGACTATAGACTAGACTATAGACTAGACTATAGACTAGACTATAGACTAGACTATAGACTAGACTATAGACTAGACTATAGACTAGACTATAGACTAGACTATAGACTAGACTATAGACTAGACTATAGACTAGACTATAGACTAGACTATAGACTAGACTATAGACTAGACTATAGACTAGATTATAAACTAGACTATAGACTAGACTATACACTAGACTATAGACTAGACTATAGACTAGACTGTAGACTAGACTATAGACTAGACTATAGACTAGACTGTAGACTAGACTATAGACTAGACTATAGACTAGACTATAGACTAGACTATAGACTAGACTATAGACTAGACTATAGACTAGACTATAGACTAGACTATAGACTAGACTATAGACTAGACTATAGACTAGACTATAGACTAGACTATAGACTAGACTATAGACTAGACTATAGACTAGACTATAGACTAGACTATAGACTAGACTATAGACTAGACTATAGACTAGACTATAGACTAGACTATAGACTAGACTATAGACTAGACTATAGACTAGACTATAGACTAGGCTATAGACTAGACTATAGACTAGACTATAGACTAGACTATAGACTAGACTATAGACTAGACTATAGACTAGACTATATAATAGACTATATAATAGACTATAGACTAGACTAGACTATACTATAGACTATACTATAGACTAGACTATATAATAGACTATATAATAGACTATAGACTAGACTATATAATACACTATAGACTAAACTATAGACTCTGACAAACAAATTATTTACAAAAGTAGCGTGCTCTTTAAAATCGTTCTCACCCAATTATCACCTTAAATCTCACACACTCCCACTTTTTACCACTTTAATGATTTCATTATTTATTTTTCCCTTTTTTCCACTTCTTTTACAAATTACAAGTTACAACTTTTTTGTTGTTGCTGTTGATTTTTTTCTGTTTAATTAGTTTTCATGTCAAACCCATAATAAGTAGTTTTTATTATTATTGATTCTCTTACTTCACTAAACCCTATAAATCGTTACTAATGTCCTTAAGGAATAACTTTTTTTTCTTTTTGTTTCAACATTTGTTCATTTCCTCTCCATAACATTCGATTAACATCTGCGCATCACAACTTAATCCTTAGGATAATAATAAAAAAATAAATACAACAAAACTTAAATAAAAATAAATAAAACAGCAAAAAAAATATATACAAAATATTTAGTCAATAACAGATATTCAGCTGTAAGTGCTGGCAGGAGTAAATACATACTTACTGAAATAAAGTACAACTGTAAATACATAAAGAAGTACGAGTTTAAGACTTATAATTTGTTTCAAATAAATCTCAAGGTATTACAGATAAAAGTTAAATCTCTACCCAAAATAGAAAAAAATAACTTGCAACCTTTCTTTCTCTCCTACTAGTGGCAGGGGCATGCAGACCCTGTTGAAAACTTTTTTGTGCACTGTTTTTGGAACCACTCAGGAAAAATACACGTTTCAGTAATAATTTATTACTTATTGAAGCAGAAAATACGTTAACGTAAGCGAAAATTTTATTTCTATTTTGTTTTGCAAAAAAAAAAAGAAAAAAATCGAGAAAAACAGTTCAATACAATAGCATAGTCGAAACAACAACTTGAAAACTCAATTAGGCCTACAAAATCCCGCAACAATAAAATTGCAGGATTATTTTTGTATTTTGTTTTGAGCTTTTTTTCTTGTAGATTTTGTTTTAATATTATTTTTTTTGCAATAATGATCTCCGATAAAAATGAGAAAAAAACAGAAAATATAAAACTTTTTTATCCCACGCAACACTGCAAAAAATTGTATTAGGTACAGATGTAATCTACTTAGTGTCCAGTGCAATCAAGAAATCGGTTATATTATAGAGAACTCCCAAATAAGGAAGGTTTGTTAACAATTACAAGTAACCAATAGTTAAAGTAAGCAGAGGGGAGATGTAGATTCATTTTACATATATTCCAATGATAGTCTAGTATTAGTCTAGCGATAATCTGATGATAGTCTACTTCTTGTCTAGCGGCAGTCTAGTGACAATCTAGAGATAGTATATTCATAATCGAGCGATTGTCTACTGATAATCTGCTTAAAATCTACTGATAATATAACAATAGTCTATTGCTAATCTAATGATAGTAAAACGATAGTCTAGTTATAGTCTTGTCACTAGATTCTAGTGATTGTCAAGTGATAGTTTAGTCATAGTTTAGTGATGGTCTAGCAAAATTAATTGTTCATTGACAGTGCATATTTGTAGTCTACTGATAGTCTATAGTCTTTTAGTAGTATAGTGATAGCATAGTGATAGTCTAGTGGTAGTCTATAGTAATTGTCCATTGCTAGTCTGGCCACAGTCTACTAATAGTCTAGTGATAGCCTAGTTATAGTCTAATGATAATCTAGTGATAGTCCAGTGATACTCTATGTGATAGTCCAGTGATAGCCTAATGATAGTCCAGTAATTGTCTAGTGATAGTCTAGTTTTAGTTAAGTGATAGTCCAGAGATAGTCAAGTGATAGTCTAGTGGTAGTCTAGTGATAGTCTAGTGGTAGTATAGTGATAGTCTAGTGACAGTCTAGTGATAGTCCAGTAATTGTTTAATAATAGTCTAGTGATGGTATAGTGATAGCCCAGTGATGGTATAGTGATAGCCTAGTCATAGTCTAGTCATAGTCTAGTCATAGTCTAGTCATAGTCTAGTCATAGTCTAGTCATAGTCTAGTCATAGTCTAGTCATAGTCTAGTCATAGTCTAGTCATAGTCTAGTCATAGTCTAGTCATAGTCTAGTCATAGTCTAGTCATAGTCTAGTCATAGTCTAGTCATAGTCTAGTCATAGTCTAGTCATAGTCTAGTCATAGTCTAGTCATAGTCTAGTCATAGTCTAGTCATAGTCTAGTCATAGTCTAGTCATAGTCTAGTCATAGTCTAGTCATAGTCTAGTCATAGTCTAGTCATAGTCTAGTCATAGTCTAGTCATAGTCTAGTCATAGTCTAGTCATAGTCTAGTCATAGTCTAGTCATAGTCTAGTCATAGTCTAGTCATAGTCTAGTCATAGTCTAGTCATAGTCTAGTCATAGTCTAGTCATAGTCTAGTCATAGTCTAGTCATAGTCTAGTCATAGTCTAGTCATAGTCTAGTCATAGTCTAGTCATAGCCTAGTCATAGTCTAGTCATAGTCTAGTCATAGTCTAGTCATAGCCTAGTCATAGTCTAGTCATAGTCTAGTCATAGTCTAGTCATAGTCTAGATAGTCTAGTCATAG